CCCCCAGTCTGGGGCCTTCATGGGGCAACGTTTGTGGGGACAGGCTCAGGGTTACGTCGGGCACGTCCCACTACAGGAGGAATATCCTAAGATAGTCAAAAAATAGTCTGGTGCCGACCTCTGACCATGTTTGATAATTTTTGAGCATGTTTAGAATCTTTGTCATTTTTCGCCTAAGAGCGGCCTGTAGGAGGGCACGCCCGACCTGAGGATAGGCTCAGGGGGACGCATCGACCGCCAACCGCACACTCATCGCCGATAGGGGGCGTGATAGCCCACCCCGCCCAGGCACGTGCGGTTTCGGTACCGGGCGCCTGTTCCATCGGCGATGTGTGGCCGACTCCATGTCGACGTATCCCTCCTCCTCCTCCTCTTCCTCCTCCTCCTCTCCCCCTCATTCCCCTCCTCCATCCTCCTCCTCCACCTCCTCCTCCTCCTCTCCTCCTCCTCCTCCCCTCTTGCCACTCCCCCCTGGCAGCCGGGCGGTCCCGCGTGTACTTTTGTGGTCACACCTCGGGCCCTCTGGCTGCCGTTCGGGACGAGCGGGCCCCCCCCGCGTGAACGCTATCCTTGCGAGGGCAAGCCGCGAAACAGGCAGCCGGAGGCTGGAATGCCGCGGAGAACCGGCGGCACTGTCCGACGACGTTGGGGGGCCACATGCGAACCCCAACGCTCGGGAGCTCCCGAGCGAAGGGAACCCGAAACGTTTTGCACACGGCACGTGCTGCGTTTCATCACGGGCGTACCAGGGCAGCTGAGAGCACTGGCGATACCACGACCGCGCCGAGGAACCGGGCCCCCCCCTGGACCCCCCCCAGCCCGGCCCAGGAGCCCCAAAGACGCCCAACACTGCCCCCACCCCACCCCTCCGCAGCCATTTTGGCTCAAGCCGCTGAGCATTCGCCCCCGAGCTTCGCGCCACGTGCCCCCTGCCGCGCGCCTGCTGGCCCATCGCCATGTGCGTGGACTCGCCCGTCACGCGGCTGCCGACGCCCCCCCACGGGCGCGCCCAGCCGAGCGGGCCCGACGGGTGGGCCCCCGCCCGCGGCACGGGAGCGACGGAGGCCGACCAGGGAGCGGGAGCGCACGACCTCGACGCGAGGTGGCCCATTGACGACCCCGACGACCCCGACGAGGGGGCCCTGACGAGGCGCTTTGGCGCGGCCTCGGGGCCCGGCGGCGCAGGGCCCGGGCAGAGCGAGCGGCCCCTGGCCGAGCCCGGCATCCTCCGGCGGCGCGGCGGCAGGCTGCTGGGGCTGGCGGCGATGGTCGACGTCGCGGCCTCGGCGCCAGAGCCGCTCGGGTCCCCTACCAGCTTCGCGTTGCGATACCCCTCGAGTTCCGTGCTACCCCGCCTTGCGCCCGACAGTCCCGAGGCCGCGCCCGCGGCGGCCGCGCGCGGCGCCGCCGGGCGCGGGGCCGCCCGGGCGCCGCCATCGCAGCAGCTGCCGGCGCTCGTCGCCCCCGCGGCGGCCGAGGAGGGCCTGGGCGCGTGCGCCGACAGGCGGGCGCTGCTCGGGGTGAGGAGCGGTGTTGACATGGGCGCCACGGGAGACGTTCGAGATGGCCAGCCGAGGCACGTCAGTTTCTCGACGTCGCCCCTGGACGGCGTCTACGACGTGACGCCATACGCCAGAAAGTACGGCGTCCACCCGAGTTTCTTCGACTTCGACCGAAAAGGTGAGATGAAGCTCACCGAGGAGGGCGTCCTGGAGGACCTGAGGCGGACGGGGGAGTGCCGCCAGCGTCTGAAGCTGAGCGGGGAGGCGATGCTGTGAGGAATCATTGCGCCGCTTGCGTCGACGACGACGACGACGACGACAACGACGGCGACGACGACGACGACGGCGCTTTCGGCACAATTTGTGGAATTGCATCGATGTGCCACCTCCTCGCCCCTCGTGGTCGCTCGCATCTTCCCCAGGCCTCTGCTACAGAGGGGGCCCATGCCAAGAGACACCCTGCTTGCCTCCATCAGGGCTGGGTTGCTTGTGGAAGGTTTCTTGTGGTCGGGCCCCCACTGTGCATCACATTTTGTTGCTCGCGAGCGCGGCCAGTCGGGGTAAAACGCCGCTGGTGGGGCGGAGCCACGCCTGAAATGCTGCACAAGCCCAACTACATTGCTAGCTGCCAGAAGCTCCAATACCGGATAATTCGTCACCCAGATTGTACGTCTCAGGTGTTTGTTCGCTTCGGTGTGCACCATAGACGCGTTAACGGTGTGTTAGCTATCGGCGATGTATGAGCTCGGCGTCAGAACAACCATCAGGAGGAACGGAAGGGAGCGGAGTTGAGGATGAGCATGTGTCCGCTCGAGTGTTTATCGAGATGGATGTCGTGCGCTTCGTTCATGTAGAGCTACGGGTTTGTCGTTTGAACTTTTCTTAGCGTCCAGGCACACCACAAGAGTGCATGTTCGTGCTGAGGGCCTGCCAGGAGGAGACTCTACTTTATCCGCAGACGTAAGTATTTTTATGAAAGAGCGCGATCTGTGGAAGCTGAGAAGGGGGGGTCGAAGCAAGGCGGTGTAGATCTGCTTGGAGGTAGTTCACACTAATCAGCATGTCCGCCAGCGCCGATCTGCGCATAGCAGGCAGCGTTGCAACCACTACACGGATGCAGTCCGACTGCCCGTGCACTTCCAACCCCTGCTCTCTCTCTCTCTCTCTCTCCTCTGCGCCTATCTCCTCTTTCCCACCTCCCCCGCTCCTCGAGCCCTCCTCCACCATAGCAGGCCTTGGCAGACCCTGAGGTCAGGGATTCTGCGACAGGCGCGGCGAAACCGCATTTGCATCGGAAGCGCGTTTTGACCTGAGCTCGACAGGCGGTCCTCTGCTCATGCAGCTTGCACTGCCTGGATTCCCTGATGCTCCTCGGCGTCTGTGCGGTGCTGCCCGCTGCCGTGCGGCCTGTGTGGGCGCGGTGCCCACCGCCGCGCCGAGGCGGTGCTGGCGCTGCCGGCACGGGGGGGGGAGGGACGGGGGGAGGGCCAGAGCATAGACCTCCCAGGGGAGGGTGGCGGTGCATGCCTCACTACTGCGAGCCAACTCTGTTGTACACGGGCGCCCTCCCTTGAAGGCACATTGGACACTCGTCCGCGGGTGTGATTTGTTTTTGCGACGTACTGTATGCCAATGATGGTAACCAGAGTGGTCTCTGGTCCCCTGAGCCGCAGACGTGCACCTAGCAAGCGTGAAAGATGCAGTTGGTGCAACGCGCGTAGGCAGGACAACGCACGCAGCTAAGTCCTGGCGGCCTCCCGTTGACCATACGTTGGACGCCGCGGCCGTTTAAGACACTTTCGGCCGCCAATGTTGCCCAGGTTGTGCTGAGGGCGCGAGCTGGGGGGGGAACAAGGAATGCAGGAGACGGAGGAAAAGGCTCACGCAGAGGCCCGGGAGCTGGTCGAGGGCCCGCTGGCCTCGCCCGTGGCCCTGCCGAGCACGGCGGGTGCACGCATGCCTCCCGCGGCCGCGTTTCATGCTGTGCACTCCTCGGGATTCGCCCACTTTGGGAGGGGAGGGGAGAGAGAGAGAGAGAGAGATCACGCAGGACGAGCGAGGAATTGGAGGACGTGGAAAGAAGGGTGTGGGTGGGTGGGTGGGTGTGGTGTCCACCGTCGCTCATCACTCACTTCTGGCACCTCCTGCGTCCTTGAAGTACCGCGCCAGTGGGGATAGGGATCGGTTAAACGATGCTCAGTTTGCCTCCTCCTGCTCCTCCCCGAGCCGACGGTCGGGGAGCGCGCTGTCGGCGTGCGGCCCCGCGGGCTCGGAGGAGCAATGCCTTGTGGTGCAGGGTGCCGCGAGGATCGATGCTAGCCGCAGGGGAAAAGTGCTGCTGTTGTCCCCCCCCCCTCCCCCCCCTCTTTTCCAATGGCACCCACCCTTATTCCCACTCGTCCTCCTCCCGTCCTCCTGTCGTCCTCCTGTCCTCCTCTCTATTTAGAGTTGACGCTGGCTGATATTTGCCTCCTCCTGCTCCTCCCCGAGCCGACGGTCGGGGAGCGCGCTGTCGGCGTGCGCCCCGCGGGCTCGGAGGAGCAATGCCTTGTGGTGCAGGGTGCCGCGAGGGTCGATCCCAGCCGCAGGGGAACAGTGCTGCTGTTGTTCTACAGATTTTGCACGTGCGGGCTCCTCGACACGAGGTTCGTTGATCGCCCCAAGTGCTCCGCAGCCACGCTCCTTCATGTGCTACTTTTGTAGTCCAACACGCGGATAGCAGGGCGCCCGAACAGCGCGGGAAGGCCTGACGAAGCATCCAGACTCTCCTTGCCATTATCTTTCATTGTTCAGCTGCGGGGAGTCTTCAGCGAGTCACTCGGTATGCCACTCGCGCATGGGCGTGTCAGGCTGCTGGGCCGACCTGCAGGTGAGCTCCGCTTGCGGACATCATCGCCTCTGTTCCCCAATTAGAGCTTGCCTCTGTGGGGGTCCTCGAGGATTCATATGATTAGGTTAGGTGCGCCGCCGATTTCGGAGGCACGCTCGCGTGCCCGGGTGCCCGGGTGCCTGGGTGCCTGGGTGCCCGGGTGCGGTGCGCCGCCGATTTCCGTGGCCGGGTGCCCGGATGCTTTATAGCCCCATAGCCACATGGCCCTATAGCCCTATCGTGGCTGTCGTGAGCACTCTTTGGGGACAAGGCGGAGGTCATGCCAGAAACACTTGCTCCTTCGGAGGAGCGGTAGCTTGGAAGCCAAGAGTGGCCCATCACACTTTCTGCCACTGGCGTCTAAGAAAAAATCAGTACGCGAGGTCTTTGACGGTGTTTTCGACCCCTGGGTTCCCTCACCGGGCCGCGGGGCCGTCAAAAACAACCTGGGCCGAACAGCTGGCCCCAGGGAAAGGGTCGGAGGAGGAGGAGGAGGAGGAAGAGGAGGAGCCCGCATGGACGGGCAGGGATTTGTTTTCTAATCCTTTGGCGCATCACGGTCGTTAACCGGGCCAGCCCGCTCCCTCCCTCGCCCGGGCAACGGTAAGGATCATGCCAGGGCTGGACCGAAACGCTGTTTTGCTGGACTTCGGCTGTGTTTGGTTTTTCGTGTTGGCAGGGAGGTGCTTACAGGAAGACGTGTGGAGAAAAACGAAGAACCACATGAAAACGAAACGATACAACAACGTTTAGGTCCAGCCCTGGATTATGCGTATAGGGGGGGCTGGAGGGGACCCGCCCCTACATGCTGGTGCTCGCGCGCATACTTTGGCGACCGTAGCACGCCCAGACCCCCGACGTCATGCTTTTGTCATTACGTACGTCGACCCCCAGAGTTCTCGACCCAGTCCCCGCCGGGACCGGTTTCTCGTCCTGAGTCGTTTATTTTGACTTTTTGACTGTCCCGAGGACCTGTGAGGGCCCCCAAGGCCTCGCGTCATGAAATTTGTCACTGCCCGAGGGGGTCTGCACACCCCCTTCGCGACGCCCCACCCCGCCCAAGCGTCCAACTGACCTCGAGCGGCGGTTTCGATTCGGTCCGATTCTCAGAGCCTCCTCCTTCTCCGCCTCCTCCTCCTCGTCGTCCTCCTCCTCCTCCTCCTCCTCCTCCTCCTCCTCCTCCTCCTCCTAAGAGTCCAGCTGACCTCGGGCGGCGATTTCGATTCGGTCCGATTCGCAGATCCTGCTCCTCCTCCTCCTCCTCCTCCTCCTCCTCCTCCGTCCTCCTCCTCCTCCTCCTCCTCCTCCTCCCCCATCCTCCTCCTCCCCCTCCCCCCCCCCCCTTCCTCCTGCCTCCTCCTCCCTCCTCCTCCTCCTCCTCCTCCTCCTCCTCCTCCTCCTCCTCCTCCTCCCCCTCCTGCCTCCTGGTCCTCCTCCCCTCCTCCTCCTCCTCTCCTCCTCCCTCTCCTCCTCCTCCTCCCTCCTCCTCCTCCTCCTCCTCCTCCTCCTCCTTCCTTCCTCCTCCTGCCCCTCCTCCACCCCCCGAGGGCGATGGAGAGATCAGCGGTCGCCGGCCTCCCAAGGGAAGCCCCCTGGGGCCGCCGCGGCGGAGAGCAGGTGCGTTCTCGGGCCGCGGGAGCGGCCTGCACCGCTTTCCGTGGCTGCCCTTGCTGCACCTCGCCCCGCTCCGAGATTCGGCTCGACTCTACACATCGTTCGTTCCTACTGCTTCGGAAGTTCTCTGTTTTTTTTGGGGGGCCGAGATCCTTTCATCCATTGCTCATTGTCCTATCCTGGGCCTCTTCTTGGCCATTAGGGGGCCAGGAACAGATAGAAACGAGCACAATTAGAAGTGAGCACGATTAGAAATGAACGTCGTGTACATAGGGAAACGAACAATGACATAAACATAAAAACTCGGAGGTCCGCGCGGATCTCTCGGATCGGCGCTGGGGCCGCCCTGGCGGCGCCTCCGGCGCCGCCCCTGGCGCGCGGAGGGTCCAGCGCGGATCCGAGAAATCCGCGCGGACCTCGGAGTTTTTATGTTTATGCCATTTTCTGTTCTCCTATCTAAAATTCAGTCGCGCCTGTCACTCTACAGGGGGAATATTCCAAAGTAGTCCGAAAAGGGTCTGGGGACTGATTTCTGTGTATATGTTGCGCATTTTCAATCTTCTTCAGCTCCTTCCTACTTCGTGCTCCTACCCAGTTCTTCCGACCGACGGGTATTCCCCCCGCAGCTCAGACCTCCGCCGCCCCGTTTTGGGCCTCCGGGGGCCTCGCCGGGCCCCGGGACTGTCGAGTAGCGACTGGGGATGAGAAGCCGCCCAGCGTCTCGACCGCTCTGGGCCTCCATGGGGCCCACGCTGGGCCCCGCGGCCGTCGCCAAAGAAATGCTCAAGACGAGGTGCCGTCCCCGGGGAGGGAGGTCCCAGGAGGAGCAGGAACAGGAGCAGCAGAGAGCAGGAGCAGCAGAGAGCAGCAGCGCCATGATGGGGGGGAGTTTCAGACCCAGACCCCCGACGTCGTGATTTTTTCACAGCGTCGACCCTCAGAAGTCTGGACCCATGCCCCTGCATTGGTTTTTCATTTCGAGTCGTTGGTGGACGGTCCCGAGGCCCAGTGAGGCCCCCGGAGGCCGAACATAGCGGCAAACCTCCCATCGTGACTTTTTCACAAACGCGAGGGGATCTGGGGAGGGGGCAATCATGGTATCGATCGTGCTAGCCGCTCTCTCGCTCTGCTCCTCGGCCTCCCGGGAGGCCCTCGTGTCGCCATGGCCCGCCTCGGCACCCTAAAATTCTTGGTCAGACCGCACCCCCGGGGGAGGTCCTCCTCCTCCTCCTCCTCCTCCTCCTCCTCCTCCTCCTCCTCCTCCTCCT